GCACCTCGTTGTGCTCACGAACATTTTGGCAGAGAGCTGATGCTCAGTGCATTGGCAGTGACCTCCAACCTGGCTGCTGGTGGGCTGCTCAGGCACCTTCCTCATTGCCTTTGGCTCCTGGTGCTTGGCCTCTCTTGGCATCGCTGAGCCAGTGGCTACTGGCCAAGCTCCTTTGACACTTCCACTCTCCAGGTTTCTTGCTCCATTACACGGTCTACCTTTGAGTTAAGTTTTCCCTCATATTTAACCTATTTTTTGCCTACCGCAGTTAAAGCCATTAGTTCCTGTTCTGTCCTCTCTGACTAATGAAAATTGGTCCCAATCCTCTTTATAATGTCCCCTAACATACTCGTAGACAGTTATGTGTCCCTTCAGCCCTCTCTTCTCCAGACTGAACATGCCCAGCTCTCTTTGTCTTTCCCTCACAGGCCCTGTTTTCCAAACCTTTATCACCTTCGTTGCTTTCCCATGAGCTCTTCTTCCCAATTAATCCTTTTAAAAATGTGCTGCCCCATACTGAACACAGTGCACCATTGCCTCTGCTGCTGAAGGAGAGCAGCAGCATTAGCATAATTATCTCGCCTGGTTTTCCCACAGCTCTGCTATTAACCATTTTATTTCTGGGACACCTTGCCTGGCTGCTCAAGCAAGGAGGAGAGTAGTGCAAGCAGGGAAGAGCTCTAGGGACCCGCTGCCCCACAAAAGTGGTTCCAGGAGCAGCTGGTGGTGGTGTACCTGCAGGTGGAACACTGTCCATGCTGGGCACCAGACTGGGCAAAGTAGGTAATTGGTGGGGAAGTCGGCTTTGAATCAGCATCTGCAAGGAGAGTTTGCACGATCCAGAGTCATGGCTGTGGCTCTGTCACCCCGCAGAGCCCGTGTCACCCAGCTCACCAGGCTTCTGCTGCTTTGGTGGGTTTCACAGTGACCTCCACGTCGCACAGAGGAACAGCACGACTCCCAGCATTTTGTGCTGATGTGCTGCAGCAGCACATTTCATTATTCTCCACCCTGCAGAATGCACTGCTTGACTGTGTTGAATCTCACTGCGCTTCTTTAATTTATCTCCCAAACACCACGTTATACTTTAATCCTGTCCTTCTAGATATTTGCATATCCTCCTTGGTTTGAACAGTGCCTAAATGCAGGCTGGCTCTTAAAGGCACAGAGAGATTTGCACGGCTGCCCGTGCCAAGAGCTGCTAATGAAAGCACCAATAAGCATGGGAGTATAAACTCACCACCTGTGGAGTCTTGTTTGGCATCCTCATTCAGCCTAATAAAGAATCATTCATGTTTAATTGCTACATTTGATTGTTTAATTACGGTTATTTTACATGCCATCTTGTTTTGTCTTGGCTTTAGACGCTATCTGCTACCTTACCCTTTCTGAATAGTGAATTATACTACAAGAGAAAATTAGAATTAGAACTAGGCCTTTAAACTGCAATCAGGTTGGTTTTTTTTTTTCTCTTTTTAAAAAAGCTGTTCATAAAATCCTTTCTGTTTGACATTGCTCTATAGATTTGAGTATCCAGGGTGGTTTGTTTTTTTTCTGTGCAGCAAGAATTATACGAGTAACTTTTTCAAATGCTCTTGCAGGGCTATGATGTGGGTAGCTTCATCTTCTCACTGAGGTTTTGTCAATTAAGTTTACTTTGTTTAAATGTCAATTCATCTTAACAACTGCAAGATTGTTTTTTTTTTGGCAGAGGCTTAACTTGGCATAAAATTAGTTTATTGCAGGTTCACTTAGTTCAGCAATGCTGTAACTTCAAATCAATACAAATCTGTCCTAAAACTTCAGTAAGATGGTCTGCTTGCAAATCTGGCTCCTCTTTAAAGGAACGGCAAGGAAGCCAGGACCTGCCCCATGTTTCTCCAGCTGTGCAGTTTTGTTGCCCATCCTGTGCTGGTGCTCTCTTCTGTCTGATGACGGACCTTCCCCGGGCAAACTGCTTCCTCATGCACTCTCTTCTGTCTCTCAGTCTGGCAATGAGCTGCCTTTCACTTACAGGGCAAGCTCCCTTTTATTTAACGTGCTTAATGATTCCAGAAACAACAGCACACCTCTGGTTCACTTAGGATCCTTTCTTGGATATTGTTGCATGGTGAGCTGTCCCTGGCTCCATTTGGCTTTATGGGCAGCACAAGGCAGCACTCATCTGTTCTGAGCCCTCCTGGTTCTGCTCTTGTCCCTCGATGCATGTAAGCTCTCTGTCCCCAGATTTCTATGCACCAGAGTGTGCTGTGCTCCATCTTGCTGGTATGTGCATGTTTTTCTTTTTTGACCTTCATCCATCAAATTGCCTGACATTGGGTCAGTCACCATTGCTGGGGCACAGGTCTCTGATAGATCTGTGTAGATGCAGCTGAAGAGATGCCCAAGTCTACAAGAGAACCACCTATCCTTTCTGTCCTCTTCTCCTTCAATATTATGACCTTCCCAAGTCTTCTTCCCCGCAGCCAATGGATGTTCTCAGGAACCTCTGAATTAGCTCCTTCCCATGGAGAGTGATGTTCCTGGTGTGACACCATTTTCTCTGGTTTGCTTGTTCCCTTTCTCTATGACCAACATAGACCCAAGAGGAGGAGGAGGGCCTCCCTTTCACTGCTGCCTTCATTCCTGCATCACTAATGCCTAAATCTGTCTCCAAGCAGTTTGCTCTGCCCACCCAGAAGAGAGGTGACCTTTGGATATTGCTCTTTAACCAAGCTGTTTAATTGGAGAAAACTAGCAACTAGTGTCTAGGATTTAGAGAAAAAATATGGAAAAAGCATTTATCAAATAATAAAAAGAGGGACTAAATTCAAGCCATTGTACTCCGCCTGGGTTCTTGCCTTAGAAAGAAAGAAAGAAAAAAGGTGAGCTGAATTGCTGAAGGACAGCTGAATGCAGTTATTTCCCTGCTTGGAGGCTGTAAGGGATTTCCCTTTGGATAGCTCACAGGCTCCTTCCCAGGAAATTTTCCCCTTGCTTTTACTGCTGTCTTGCCTTTTTCCATCCAGCCTTTTACAGCTAGGAAATGACCTGCCACCCAAGTGCTTTTTTTTAGGGCAATTTCAGCTGCTTCTGTTCACTTAGAGGTTTGGAAAATATCAGGCTTATGTACTAAAATCAGTTTAAAGCGCTTTGCAAGAATATGGTACAGGAATATGAAATCATTATTCATCATTTGACCAGATATGAAAATAATCCTCACTCATAACTAGCTTCTGAAAATGGCCAGCGTAATTTTTATACGTGCAATAACAAAGTAGGAAGCGACTGCTATTTCTGCAGCAGACAAGGAGCATCTCACTGAGACAAAGCTACAGCAAAGCAGGCAATTTTCAGTTCCTTTTCAGCAAGCTTTCTATATCCTTTCTTGCCTTTGCACTCACAGAAAGCCAATTTTCCGTGTCCCTACTACACACAAAATGGGGCAAGATTTTAAAGATACAGCTCTGCTCTATTTGACTGCAGCAGACTGAAAGAAAAATGAAGTTCAGTACTTAACCGATCCCTTTGCAATATTTCAGGGTAAATTAAAAATCAAAATGTCAAGAGGTTCAATATGTCAGTGGGCTTTTTGACAGGGCGGCTACTTTGAAGCCTAAATGAGAACTGTGCTGCTTTTAAAAACTGGAACCAAATGTGTGCAGCTGCTGCGCCATTTAGAAATTCTGGCCCCTCATCTTTTTTCTTTTTTTCTTACGTAATAAAATTAGTAAAATATTCTGGCTTCTGTTCTACTTGTTTTCAGAGTAGAAAGCCTCCACTTCATAGAGTAGATGGCCATTTACGAAGCTGGCTAGTTTTCATTATCTGCATTAAGGTGAAGCCTGGCAGCTTTACCCTCTTGCCTTTTGTACCATTGAGCAAACCCATCTTTGCTGCCCCCAGTGCATTTATCTCTCGTGGCCCTCGACAAACCGTTTTTTTGTTTTGCCATCTCAGTTCGTCTTTGTAAAACAGGGAAGATAATAAATGATACCGCTTACCTTCTTCAGAGAGATGTGGTGAAGATTAATTAGTCCTTGTTTATACAAAGATTGGCAATAGTGATCTGCAGGTTTGCTAAGCACTGGGATGATTGCTATCGCTGCCTCTCCTGACAAAGAAGCACAGCCAAGGACAGGAGCTGGTGCCACTGCAATCATTTACAGGTCCAACGATAGCTGTGGCCTTGAAGAAAACTCTACCAAATATTCTGCATCTGAGAAGAGGAGGAAATGCATACTGGCAGGGCCACGGCATCTCTGGAGTCTCCTCCAGTGGGCACCTCCAGTCCCTGTTGCAAACCCTTCTGTGTGTGGGAAAGGTATGCACATAGGCAATCTGAACTGCTTATTCAGAGCCAAACTATTTCTTTCTGAACTTCGCTTTGGATGCAAAGATGGACTCAGCCTCTCACATACGTCTTTGCCAGAAGTTGCTGCACGCATGCATCGTCCCACAGCAAATTGGCACCTTTCGCTTCAGCCTGCTGTGTTAGATAGACACTTGCAGGCAGTCCTGTCGGCAGGTTAGACTATTTCCATAGTGATGCAGCCAGAGTGAAATGTATTTTTCCCCACAGCTGTCCAATTTGCTCTTGCTGGTGCTCTGAGCATTGCTGGTTTGCCTGGTGCGTTTGCTGCAGGCAGGGCTGTCTGTGCATGAAATGACGGCAGGCTGTGCTGGCCTCAACTTGTCGTGTTCCCCCACTTGGCAACAACTTTCTGTAGTCTGTGGCTATCACTTTTCACTTCGCTCAGTAATTTCTCATGCTTTGACAGCTGCCCCAGCCCTCCCTTGCCGCTGGACTGCCCATGGCGAGGAGGAGAGGACGCATCCACTGGTGATGAGGCAGCGGGTCCCCAGAAAAGCCCATCCTTCGATGACTGAGAATTATAAGATCCCCCTCTTGCTATTGTTCAGACAAGCCCCAGGATCTAATATCACCCTTCTCTCCTGACTACACAGCTACATACTGGTGTGCTGGCCCTCTCCAGACCACGACCTGCTCACCTTGGTCCTGAAGCACACATCCATAGGTACAGATGGCATCAATCAGAGGAAAACACCCAGCCAACACCGACCGCTCAGCAACTCCATGCACACTGTAACAAAAGCAATGGCTGATTAAAATTCCTCATTTTGTTGTGATTCGCTTTCTCAGCAAGTCAGGTTCAGTTATTGTGGTGGACAGTTCTGCTGGTAAAAGGTCAAAGTCAACAGTCCACAAATCTGTGCTAGGCTACTGGCGACCCTCTAGAGTTGTGTAAATTGAAGGGAGGCTGTATGTGGAGCAATTTGCATTGCAGTGCATGTGCAGGTGAGAGTGCAGTATGACAGGAGATGTCATTACTGAGATTAGAATTTACACTTACAGCCTTAGTCAGATTTGTGTTTGAGAAACTATAGTGCCCTGGAAAAAGATTACTAATCATCTGATAATTTCCTATTGTTTGTATCCAGTAAATATCCCTTTAGTTTCCTATTTCCAGTTAAGATTAATTTTCTGATCAAAGAAAGTTTGATCAGAAGTGCACAGACAGCACAAGAGCAGCAATATTACATGGCTGGAGGATATGTGTTGTGTCTTTGACTCTGCAGCAGAGCCAGCCAGGAGGGGAAGATGATGGCTCCTGGTAGAAGCTCTGCAATAAATAATAACTCTCTGGGTTTGGAAAAGAGCTATTTTTATTTATTTCCTTCCTGCTGTCAATCAGAGGAGTCCTTTCTTCATTTTTGAAGTAGAGTCAGTCTTTGTTTTACCATTGGGATGCAATGATACCCATTGGTTGAAATCCTGTGCTAATTTCCATTGTTTCTATTTTGATTTCTTAGAGCAGTCCAACAGAGATGAGTGGTACTGCGCCCTTTGTCCTGCTGCTCTCGGCCATGGTAACAAGACCTGTCTCCACCCTCCCAGGCTCTGCCTCAGCCTGTGCAGCTGACAAGTCCCTTCTTTTCCCCTCCATCCCACTCAGTCCTGCTAGATCAGCTTTCCCCTTTGCACGTGGAGCCTCTCACCATGCACACTCTCAGTGGTTCCCACTGAGCCCACCACCAGCAATATCACCTTCCTCACTCCTTCCCTGCAACCCTGGTAAATATCTGCCACTTCACAGTGTGTGCAGGCTGGGTGGTTTGTTGCTGATATCTGGCTCCGAACGGAAGCATCGCTCTCAGAGTATTTCCAGCACCATCTGCCGCCTTACTTTATTTCAGTTTCTAGAAAGGGTTTTGCTGTAGCTCAGAGGCAGAGGAGGAATCTGGATAGAGCTGACACAAATCCCAGAAAATGTTTGTCTGTTTGCCTTACACGCTAATTAGTGCCGACGTGGTCAAAAGTGCTCTGAACTTTTATTTATTTATTTTTCTCCTTTCTCGAGCATCTATCACCATGACAGCAACGCGCTCCAACCGCAGGAAATTAAAACACCCGGCACAAGCAGCTAATCAAATGCAGAAGCAAACAGAAGAATTTTGCACAGAGCTCTCAGTGTCATTCCGATCCCGCTTTGACGGGCAGCAGAGTTTCTGCAGGGAAAAAGAAATGTTTTGTTTGCTTCAAATTCCCTTTTCCCTTGGAAGCGTAAACGTGAAATTACTCTCTCCTCCTCCATTGGGATGTCTTATTTATTTTCCTGCTGGTGGCTGTTAAAGGAGACGCGGTTCAATTATGCCCTGGGTTGAATTAATGGCTCGCACAGCTCAGTGAGTGTGTTCTGGTGTGAACTTACCCACATGAAGGGGATGGTGGGGCTTTCGTGGGGCAAGGGAAAGCTCTGCAGGAGGAGAGCTCCCTGCAGCCCTCTTGAATCTGTGACATATGTTTGGTTGTAGGATCCAGAGTAGACTTCACATCTGAGCTGAGTGAAGCTTTTCATTTTCTGACATGCAGAGTATGTCCATCTCAGTCTGGACCCTATTAGAAACTTCAGTTAGAAGTCTGCTAACTTCTCTTGAATGCCGTCACTCAATCACCATCTTATACTGGAGTCTTCAGATGCCTTATTTAGAGGAGCAATGGAGTTTTACCACAAATAACTTTTGGTTGATTCCCCTTGCACTTACATTTGTTCTTGTTTGTATTCTTCTTTGTTGACAGTTCAAGCACATAAGTACCCCCCCAAGGAGCATCCTGAAGGACTTGTTTCCTCTTTGTCTTTCCTTAGCATTGAAAACTGGACTGCATTATTTTTTACAAGCACTGATAAAATATTAGCCATGTGAGTAATGGATCACGCACAGCTCGAGGTCTTCCCTGCGCCTAGAGAATCTCTGCGGGTGGGTGGACTTTCTCTGCTTTGCTCCTGCAGGCTGGGTCTGGCTTCCATACAGCCTCATCTCATACAGCTCATCTCTCAAATCCATGTAGCACCATGAGCACCCTTAACAGTTCTCGGAATGATGACATTGCTTCTACTTCAGGTTGAAAACTTTGGTGTGCTCTTGAGCAGCTGCTGTGTGCTGTTTTCCCAAGGACTAGAACAAGCCAAGGTGCAAAGCGGTGCTGTACTCAATGTCTGCCCTTCCGCTCAGATACAGGAGAAAGCAATCCAGCAGTGGTCATTTTTCATCAGTAATGAATGAATTTGTCTCTTTTTTAGTTCTCCCTCCAGCTTTTTAAGTTATGTAGCTGATACTACCAAAAAGCACTCGCTTTACTGTGGGGCCCTTGTAAACAAGCAATGTATTTCTTGCCATAAGGGCACAGCAAGGTTAAATACTGAATACCACTAGATGAGATTTTGCAGACATTTTGGTTATGCAGAGCCATGAAAGCGCCTGAGGCTGTCATCAGATCCACCTGGAATCCATAATCAGGATAAGTGTGATGATTGTCTTTGCTTTTCATAATTTGAGGAGTGACTCCCAACTATTTCCCATAATGTCCTGGTGAAACTTCCGTTTTGTGGATGCAGCTAGGCAGCCTCTGCTTGCTTTGATTTTATTTCATGCCATTTTTCTCTTGTCTTTGCTTTATGTTTATAGTTGCCAGCATAGTGGCTGCTATTTTTAAGGATTTTTTTTCCCTTGCGTGCTTGCTTTAAAATGATTTGTTAGTATACAGTATGATGTATTTTAAATGGCTAAAGAGCACACCGGGTGTAGATTCAATATAAATTGATTTGAGACTGCAGCAACCACAGTACCTTCATCTACTCAAACCAGAAGAGGTCATAGTTTCTAAAGTAGTGAAGTGTGAGCACCTGAGAAATACTCACTATTGGTCAAGTTTAGACGACAGCCTGTAGAAGTTATTCTCTGGCCTTTAGCTATTTACAGTTTTCTGCTCTTGGAAATAAATCCCACTCAATTGAGGAGAATAACTTTGTGAACCCTGGAGAGGATGTTGCATTGGGAACCTGTGTAAGCATAATCATACAGCACTTGTTAAAACAGGAGAACCCCTAAAAGGCTTCAGCTGCACAAGGGGTGGGAGGAGCTCACAAGTGCTGCTAAGGGCAATGGGCTCTAAATTTCAGCTCTGTTCTCCAGTCCACAGGGGCAATTCTTCTTAACCCGATCCCAAACTCTACTGCAAACTGTTGTATTTCAGAGCCCTTGGGAGAGTGTTTCACAAGATGGAGATTAGAAAGCAAGAACAGCAAACTGGAAAGTGCTTCGTGGTGTCTCTTTAACAGCTTAGGATTGATTCATTTTAGTATTTGTGTCTGGGTCTTATTCACTGCTGCCTCATAGATCAATGGCATGACGGAGTCCCAGCTCGTGTTGATGCAGCATATGGGAATGGGATCCATTATCTTTAGTTCCCAGGACTATAAAATGTCCAATAAACTCAGCAGCAAGAACGCCGGATTTGTGCACCTCCACCAGCTGCTGTAGCTTTGCTGCCTATTAAGCTGTGTTTTTAGTTTCATTATTGATGGGGAATGCTGATAGCTGAGCAAATGATGTTGCTTGCAGATTTGAGGCACTTTCCCTGCTTATAAAGGTAGCTCCTGCTACGGTGCCTCCTCTTGCCGGGGGAGGAGGGCTGCATGCTGCAGTGAGAAATCAATTTAAATTAGCATGGGCACAGCCAATCCGTAGTGATGTCAGCAGCTCAAGCTGGTTGCAGGAATCTGAGCAGCAAGGCTAAGCGCCTCAGTCTCCAATGCTCATCCTTGCCACAGACCCCAGGCAGCACATTTGCTGTTCCAGCATCACTCTCAGTCTCTTCCCTGGCTGTTTATGTTGCAGTTTGACTTTCCCCTGCTTTTCCCACTCCTGCTGAACCTTTGGAATAAATTCCATAATCGCTCTGAAAATGGTGCAAAACCTGAGCTTGCCTACAGAAGTTGCTGTGGTGGAGTTGTGAGCAGCTCTCAATTCCATTTCACTTGTTTCCTGTGCCACCACAGGCACACTGCAGTTCCACTCCAGAATCAGCTTTTATTGCTTTCTTTACTCCTCTGGGAAACAGATCAAGAACAGCTATGGCAAGTTAGCCAAAATCTTCAGCCTCTAGCATCATTAGTGTAGGTAAGCATTGTAATGGAAGTCAGTGTAAGCCAGCTCTTATTAATCCACTGAATGTTGATTCCTACAAACAATCTCCAGGTATTGTTTCAGTGCTTACACAGTTGACTTCCTACTGAACCATCGGCATCCACTCTTGAGAAGAGAAACCCATATTCCACAGCAGGATCATTTTCTGTTCCTGGACATCGTGGAACTGAACACGGACGCCCAGCTTCTAGTATCAATGTTGGTATGAATACAAAAGAAAACTTTCCCTCTCCCGTGCTAAGGTCTGTGCAGGTGGTGATTAAAGTAGCTGTCACCGTGCTTGTAGCTCAGCTGCTCTTGGCTGGACACCTGCTGTTACTGCCTGCTGCCCATGAGTGCCTTCCTCGGGCATCTGCACCTCTTGGTGCCTGCCATCAACAGCTGCAGCTCTGGCAAAGTCTGATAAACACCAGTGCGTTTCTGCCAACTTTTCTCCAAGGAGCAGAAAGGAAGACGTTCATGTCTAGTAGAAGTTTACTTTCAAGAGTATGGATCAGAGATTTTGTACAAACTACTCTCTTAAATTATTGAAAATCTGCTGTAATTACTGAGTATTTCAAAATATTCTGGGGAAGAATTTCTGGGCCCATCTGTTTTTCCCTTCCCTTCACTGCCACATGTCCACTCAGCTATTAGGAATGCTAAAGGATGGCTTTCATGAAAACGAGGGCAATGACGTGTTTGACAAAATGTGACTTCTGTGGTCCAGAGGCAGAGGATTCATTACTTCCATCTATAGTTTTTTTGCAGCTTTCCCCCCATCTTAAAAATGTATTCCTACCACCTCGGATTTGTCTGTCTCGAGCTCCCAGCTAATGGTTTTTGTTATCTACCACATTAAAGAGCTTCACAGTTCCCTCTGTTTCCTTTCTGTGAAGGTAATGGTACATTGTAATCAAGCCACCTCTCGGTCGTCTTTTTGATAAGCTAAACAGATTGTGCTCTTTATGTTTCTCACTCTAAAGCACTTTCTTCAGCTCTTAAATCATTTTCGTGGCACTTGCTGCAGCTTTTTTCTGTGCAGTCACCAATTTTGTTACACCCTTATTAAAAAAGATGAACCTGGAGCTGAGCGCATTGTCAGGAACTGGCCTCATCTAGACTGCAGGCAGCCTAAAAAGCCTGTGCTTGAATCTACCTGCATCCCCCTTCTTGTATACAGGGATTATTTCACCTCTTTAGCATGGCTCCCCCCTGGCAACCTCAGTTCAGATGCTTGTCCCTGTGCAGTTAGTGCACGGTTTGTCCTGCTTCCCTCAGCCTTTACACCTGTTGATATTTAGGGGCAGTGTTTTGGCGCAAGCTTATTTTCTCCATCCATGAATGTTCCATTAGGCAATGAAATGGGAGAAAAGGAAGCCCTTGACTCATTTAGCATGGTTGGTACTCCCAACCCTGTCCCTGTGACAGCCCTTTTTGACCTGCCCTATCAGCACATTAGTGAAGTTATTTCAAGGTAGTCCCAGATGGAAAATGCCTTCGCTGTCCCACTCAGTCCTAGAAATATCTCTGTTTGAATCCCAGTCAGAAATATCTCATGAAATCAGTTCTTCATCCATCTAATGCAATATTTACTGATGTTGCAGAGTGCTCATTTCTTAATCACCGTGCTGCAGGGCACCAAGCGCTGCACCTGGCAGTGGGAGGAGGTGAGCCATCGCACCAGATCCATCCTCAGACAGAGAAGTATTTTTTGAGACAGGGCTTCTATTCACAATAATGCTGACTGACATTAATTATCACTTAGAAACCCCTGTCAGCACTTCCATTTGGCATAGGAATGGTGCCAGGAGGCAGCTCCAGCAGTAGGAATTAACGCCCAGGTCCCCAGCGGCTGCTGCGGTGTTGTCCGCGACCGCACATTGGTGGCAGCAGCGCACGGTGTTGCCCTCCCCTTTCCAACCCCTGTCCTTCCAATCAGGTTTGCAGGCTCAAACCCTTGCTTCATGAGCACGCAGGGTGATTTATAATGGGCTTCAAGTGGGAGACGCTGGGATGGCAGTTGCGGCGCTCCCTGCAGCTGGCCAAGCTCCCTCCCCACGCAGCGATCTGTGTGGCCGCACAGGAGGCACTTGCCCATTAAAATGCTGTCAGAGATCGTCTTTCCGACTTAAATCAAGGCTGTCGCTTTGGTAGGCGAGGGTTTTCGAGGTGTTTGTCTCTTCATTCGTTGGTTGTTTTTGTTTTTTTTTTTATCCTGTCCTTTCTGTGTTGTTATTGCTTCCATTCCTTAAAGCACCGCAAATTGCAAGCCTGTGGCTTGCCGTGAAGGCATGCTGGTAAATGATTTATAGAGGGTCCTACAAATCATGTTGCACTGAGCGCAACCCCTTCCCCCACAGCAACAGCCATCATTTCAGTGCCGCTCAGCCTTCAAGGGAGCTAAGCTGTCCTTTCCCTGCTGAGATTTAGGAAGCCAAACGGCACAATGCAGCTAAAAGTGAGAGTAAACATGCCACAGTAACAGCCTGGCATTTAAGTTTCAGCAGGGCTTAAGGTGGCCTTGCTTATCAGTGGAATTGTGTTATGACACCAGCTGGCGTCCATATACAGTTTTGATGCTTTTACAGGCACAAAATAAAAGCCCAATATGTGAATAGGACTTTGCAGGCTTTTACAGAAAGAGCTTTCTTCTGGGGGCTACATATGCAGGCACTGCTCGAGCTGCCCCTGTGCTCAGAAAAGCCTGGGTGAGGGCGAAAAGCTGCACGTGGCCCAAAGTGGCCCTTGTTCCCCACTATGGGGACAAAGGCATGGCACAGCCTTGACAAGTTTGTATACAGGCATACTTCCCTGAAAGCCATTTCTCTAAAGTCTTTGTAGTTTTGTTTTTTGTTTTTAATCTCAAGCTCCTTTTCCTGCTTTACATCATGCTTTCCATTTTAGAGATGTCAGATGATCTGTGATAGAGTGACAGGATGTGCAGGAGCAGTGAGGAGACGAGGTCCATTTTAATGAGACTAACTCTACTGGGTAGTGCAGACCGTGCCTCGACAAGCCCTTGGATCTTGTTTCCTTTTGCAAAGCGTCTTAATGGCATAAAAGGATTTTTGCACAAATAAGGAAAGGCAATTCCCCAAACAGATTTCTTTCAGTGGCCATTGAAATGGAAAGCTGCCACCGAGAATTGCATGATCCTCTCTAAGAGGTAAGCACAATCAGAAATCAGTATTGCTTGGCTCCCAAAAATGGACTGAAATACTTTGGAGTTAGCAGCGTGTTTGCTGCAGGCTCACCATTCACCCAGCAGGTCCTGCCTGCTAGCACTGAGGTGTAATGACACATAATATGGTCTGACCCAGCATTGCTTACCTATGACCCATTCCTGCAGGCAGCCTGGATGCAAAGCAGGAAGAGTGGGGACTTACAGCGAGGTGCAAGGGAAATATGAGAAGGCCTCATGCTGTTCTCCTGCCTTTTGTTATTTTGTCAGCTGATCTTCCAGGCTGTTATTAGAATTTCAGGCAGGCTGGGGTCATGCTTCACACTGGCTACCAGCATCAGGTAAATACAAATGGACAACTAGTCCTGGTCAAAGTTGCAAGGAAGGGTTTCTATCAATGATATATTTTTAACCTAGACACCGCTAGTTTAATATGTTCTGCAACATCTACAGAGAATCACTTTTATGGGATCTATTTTTTAAATCTTGCTTTCCAGGGAAGTACTTTTTTTTATCTAGTATTCTTTCCTAAGCTACTATTGGATCCCAGCACATGAATTCTAAGATTTTCTGGGCAATGTTGCAAAAAAGTGAGTAGATGAACAGAAGATGTAAAATACTCCCAACTGCCTAGGCCATCCACTCTGCCTGTTCTCTACTGAAATGTGCATTTGGGAATGGTCTGTTCAGGTCTGCAGGAAATCTCATTTAGTTATTTTTTAGTATTAAATATATATATATATATATACAATAATATAATTATATTATAATATATATTATATATTATAATTTATAATATTATATATTATAATTATAATTATATAATATATATATATATAATTATAATATATTATAATATTTATATATATTATATATATATATATATTCTGATCTTAACTTGCATTTCTGACTACAAATGACTCCTGTATTTTTTTCAGGTAGGTCCAGAATATCACCCCAACTGTGATTAATTCCGGAGCTTTCTCTCTGTACATAAAAGTCAGATTTATATAAATAGATGCAGGAAATCCCATATAGCCAGTGATGAGAGGATGTTAACCAATTTTTAAAGGCCCGATCAGAACAACTACAGGGAAGAGGTCAATACTAACTGTTATTCCAGGTGTTAATCTTAACTCCAATAATACTAAATACTAAAACGGGTTCCCAGATAAGAATTGCAAATCTCGCATTTGAGAAGAAAGGAAGTGTGATCCTAGAAAACAGATGCAGAGCCCTCCAGATCTCTGCAAGCATCCAATCTTTACGCGTTTGATCGATAGCTTTAGCAGTGGGACAGATGTGTGATGTATTCACTTTCAGATCTTTCTAGGGAAGGGAACAAAACAGCATTAAAATCTCCTGCTGCTCATCAGTGAGTAGATGGCATTCTCCACGGGAGGAGCAGGAAGCCTGCCTTGTGGACAGCCATACCTACAGGTACCTTTTTAGGAAAGGCAGGAAGGTGACAAAGCTCTACTTTCCATTCACTGGGACAACTGGCAAGGCAAATGAACAGGGCAGGTGGGCATGCACCCAGAAACTGAGGAGTGCTGGGGGAACATCAATATCAAGATGATACCTGAGTTGATGAAGCTGTGATGGGCAGACCTGGCTCTCTCTCTTCTGACAGCTAGCATAGATAGCTTTTTCTGTTCTCTGTTGCACCTTTAGGGATCCCAACCATCACTAGCAGCAGCTTGGGGGCAAAAAAGCCCAGGGCCTTTGGGTACCACAGATCTCATCAATAGATCTTCAAACAGCAGGGAAATGCCAGAGGCCATATGACTTACAGTCAGTGGCAATTACTGTCCAGTGCCATGAAAATTGCTTGAAGAACAAGTTAGCAGCATCATAGCAACCGCCTGCTTATGGGTTCTTTGTGTCCCTCTCAGAGCCAACCAAAGCAGCCCCCAGGCTTCCATACAACATGATATGGAGGAAATTTCGGCAAAGCATCAAAAAAGCCTGCCTGCATAGTGCACCTGGCACATCTTTGAAGCCCTGAAAGGAAGTCTCTGTGTTCTGGTATCACTTGAGCCTCCACAAAGGAGATGAAAAGGAGGAATAAAACATCTGAACAGCCCTATCTGGCCTGAGCTGCACACATGCATTACAGCAAAGATGGATTTCTTCTGGATCCTCCTGTGTATCCTCCTCCTTGGGGATGGCAGCGAGCATTTCAACACTCCAATTACAGGATGTTCATGTTAAACAGAGAAGAGGGACAGCCAGTTGGTGACAAACATTTAGGATATGGCATCAGAAGATCTGCACAACCTGCAGAAGGACCAACTGCAGTGATCATCACAGCCCCGCTCCCCACAAGTCTTTGCCGTACATCAGCTCCTAGCAGGCAGCCTCACCAGGGCTTAAATCCCCCCAGCTGCTGCAAAATGGGACCAGAGGCCCCAGCTTAGCTGCATATCAGCCCCGAGTCCTGTGGCATGGGGCTGCACCAGGAGCACTGCTCATGCTGACCTTTGGAGTCTGCTTGAAAGCATCTGATGCTCATGGCTGAGAGACGGCACAGTCCTTTCCAACTTCCTGGAGTTTTTGCCTTTGTTTTCTTCCCCACTCAAATGGAAATGAAAATGCAGGCTAAGAAAAATGGCATTAATAATACAAACTGGGAGCCCTTGGGAGAAAATTTCAGTTTTGGAAAGTCGCTACACTACATGGATGTGTCTTGCTTTCAGAAGTTTACCTGGATTTTTTTGACTCTTCATGCATGCATGTATTTGTCTGCTGCCATGCATGGTCCTTTCTCCTTATTTAATTAGGGTACGATCATAAGCATATTCTTAAATTAGAAGAAATATATAAAGATTCATCCATTCAGCAGGCATTTTTTCTGGGAAAATACATGTTCTCCTTCAGGTATTGGCTTTCTTCAGTTTTGTTTCTCTATTTTTAATTTAAAGGAACTTCTCTTATGTTTTATTCACTTGTTTTCATTAGGTAAAAGAATGCCGTGGCATGAAAACCTGTCCTGAATGCACCGCCTGCTTGACAGATATATACAAAGACTTGAAACCTGAGAGGAAAAGCGGATGGTTGCAAGCAAAAAAAAAAAAAATAATCTAAACAAAAGAATGGAATTAAAGCCAGCACCAGGGCACGTATTAATACCATGCTGCTGTCATTGCCCGCACTGATTTCTAGGAGCGATGCAGAGCATTGTACTCAGCAGGATAAGACTGACAGACCTCGAATATGAACCCCCACTGCCTTCTAAAGAGGTAGGGCCGTCCTTCTTACCTCAGGATTGATCCTGACCAGTTTACTGCGAGAAGCTGCTGCTTGAATTTCAGATGTTGAGTGCTGGTATCTGCAATTGACCATGCACGGTAAATCACATGCTAATGTTGCTCTGTCTTGACTGGATGAGAATAAACATCATAATCAGGAAAAGGCCTTGGAGGAGCCACAGCAGCTTTAAATCTCTCAGGGAGCAGCGGCAGTTTTGGGAGAGGCGGCTGATAAAGCGGATTAGGGAGTTTTAGAAAATTTAAAACCCGCTCCTTTCTGGGCCACACAGGCTCTGCCCAGGGTGTCATCGCTGGGAAAATTAGGCTGCTGGGAAATTTATTGCCAGGGCACTTCATTTCCATTTCAATTTCTCCTGTTCCAGTTCCACATGTGTGCCCAGTCCAGGGCTGCAATCAGATCCTGCTCTCCTGCCTTAACCAGCACCAGCCCCAGGCATTGCCCATGCTCTCTTCAGGGTGCTAAAGGCAACTGCAGGCTGGTCTTCCAGCCACTCGAGGAAAGGAAGGGCAGCCAGCAGGCCTTACAGGGTCGTTTATTGCTCTTTTTGTCATATTCTCATCCTTACAGGATTTCCCATGGCCAGTAACTTTTGCTCGGGAGCTCATCCCAGAAGAGGCAGGCACAAGGCAAGGACCCGGCATCCTGTGGCAGGCACCAGTGGGGCACTGCTGGGCTCTGCAGCTCCATTTTCCCCCCAGCCCAGGTGATATTAAGCTGCTCCCAGTGGGGCTGGAAAGTCTGAAGATGTCTGAGGAATGGAATAATGGTAAACAATGAGATTGCTGGTGATAAAGCAATTCTGGAAAATGTTTGGATGAATTTTCTTCAGAAGATCCACTTTCCTGTCACCCCTGCCTCTCTGTGCTCTGCTGATGTTACCCTCTGTAACAAAGAGGTCACCAGAAGGAAGATGTGCAGGAGGGAGGACTGCTAGGTGGATATTCCTAAACATCCAGCATACCGCCAACATGCTGCATTAGTTCTGGGCCTGAGCAGAGTTAGACAAAATAGCTTGAAAAATGGAAGGTATTTCTTTGTGGAGGAGTCTCAGACCTAGCACAGATGTCATGAATAGTTGAAATTATGTCTGAATTTGAGAAGAAAAAAAACAACTTCCTCTGAGGTGTGTCTTGCAACTGCAAATGAGGCATAACTTGAATAATCTTATCAACTATGATAAGCTGCTATTAGCATTTGAGTTACATTTCCCTCGAGAAGTCAGGAGGGGCTGCGGCCCCAGATTAGGGATCCCTCCTGACATGTAAATAGGTAGCACATATGGAAATGGAGTTGTCCCGAGTGTCACCACCTCGAGGTGAATGATAGCTAGAGGTGGAAGAGTGGAGAATAAATGTTACTGCAAGAAAAGCTGCTGAATTTCCTTTTGAGAGACTGATAATCCCGCAGGCTTCTACAGAAGCAGCTTTTGATTATCATTGCTGATGATATTAGAAGACATCTCTGGAGTCTGTCCTTTAAAAAATGTTTCCCTGGTGCTACTTGAAAACATATGGGTTGGGAACTGAAGTGAAAAACTGATGTTTTGCTAACTCTCTTGGCACGATGGAGGCTTAAAAATGATGTGCCTGATACCAGAGATGCATTTTTAACAGTAAATGAAAGCAGACTGGATAAAAATTCAAAATACTAAATGCAGATGAAAGAGGGGCTGGTTAAAGGACCGGATGAGAAAAGGTAGATCAGTTCAGCTGGGCTGAACAGCAGAGCTATTTGAGTTGCTTCGACACACTGAAGGTGCAGACACACACCTGCAACTTACAGAGGGAGCTGAGTAATCCAGGTCTAACAGTGCATGTCCAAATGCACCACTTTGCCAAGGGCTTCATCAAGTAACAAGATGGAGAAGCTCAGGCTGCTGCTCGTATGGTAACAGCTTGGATGGGTAAGGAACAGAAAGATGGAGCCAGGCTTCTTCAGTCTAGAATCTAATCCATGCCAGACAGTGGTCTGTAGATGGCTGCGGTATCTAACATAGGCACAGCACCTGGAGGGAAGTTCATGCCCCCCAATGGCTCTTATCCATAAAATTAAACCTATTTCCAGACAACATACGTTAATCCTCAGAAGATATTGTGTACTGGAATAAGTGTGTTTTATACTGGAGCTGGATGAGGTTAGTTTTGCTGATTCAATAGAATCAGAGAATCATTAAGGTTGGAAGAGACCTCCAAGATCATCCAGTACAACTGCCCACCTGCCACCACTATTCCCCCATTAAACCATGTCCCTAAATACCACATGTACATGTTTCCTGAGCACCTCCAGGGACTGTAACTTCACCACCTCCTGGGCAACCTGTTCCAGCACCTGACCACTTTTTTTGGAGAAGAAATTTTTCCTAACCTGAAAAGGTTGGATAGGTTATAAGGACCAACCAACCAAACACAAAAAAACATTATGCTGATGCCACTATAATGTCTTCACTGTGAAAAAAGCTGGCCATCAACAAGGGAAAAGCTAGATAGGCTTCATCCCATCAGCTCCACCAACTGTTAAAAAATGAATCTGTTGAAGTTGCTGCAGAAAAACTTCTGAAAAGAAGATACTTTGAAAAAGTGCTGAATCTGCAGAATCATTGCATCTCTTGGCTGGTCATGCATTTTCTGAGCCTCTGCCAATAATTGCAGTTTCTGAAAACTTCTGAAAGCAAACAAGCATTCCCTTCCACGGCTTTCTGTTCCACCACTTTGCCTCTTTTGGGTCCATTAGTCAGTACATGCATACCCCCACAGTCAGGTGACCAGCAGATTGGTGCTACAAAACTGCTTTGCCTTCCAGAATGTCAGGTGATGAAATTTAGGAGGCTTGGGTGTATTCATAAGATCAAATAGCCAACTGCTGACGAGGTAGGTATCCTGTGCCAGCATGGGAAGACTCACCACCTACTTAATTTCTGTAACCAGGTCTGATATTTCCCCAGGAAATGTTTAATAAAGATGCCAAAACATTTTATTATACCTGAATGCCCCTTAATAAAGATGCATTTTTGGTATATGGTGGTTACAGTGCCTGCTGAAGCAATAAAGTTCTGTGGCATCCTGAAGAAATGGTAGATCCTAAAGACAGCCTTTGCTCTTAGCCACAACTAATTAGCAGTATCTATTTCTGAGTTTTACCCGGCCCTGTTTTAACAATCTCTAACTAGGAGCTTAACCTCTGTTCCAAAAACTGACGTGGGTAAAATGCACTTAACATTGCTCACAATTCTTACAACAGACAGAACAGGTTTTGCATTTGGCTACACAGAGAAGTTCTATTTCAGTGATTTTAGGTGCTAGGATTTCTCCAGTTGTGACTCAAGCCATGACTTCCCATTAAAAGAAGCCTTTATGCTTCTTCGTCCAGGAGACAGGTCACGTTCTAAGACAATTCAAACTATTTTATTCTATGTCTAAATTGAACAATAAAAACTGTTATCCTTTATGACCAGCAACCAATTAACTGACCTGGTGATAGGGAATTAAGTCAATCTTCTTCCTTTGAAACAACAGCTGAAATAGCAGCGGTACAGTTCTTTGTCTCCTGTTTGAGAGCAGGAGAGGAGGAAGGATTGGAACAGGATCACCGACAGACAGAAATCTTGCCCTTGTTGCAACACCAAAATGCTTCCCATTAACTTCTGGATGCTGAGATCTCCCCATCATGTCACGCTTTCTAGGAAGCCTTCATAAAATCAGGTGAGCAAAGCATCATGCTTCTGCTGTGATTTACAGTATTCCACAAACTGTTCATCTAATAAAGCTCTTTGAGTATATTGTACCGCCTTTCACTTTCTTTTTCTGTCATCCCTCAGGATAAATGACAGCGGAGTGTGAGGAGTGCTCCCCAGCCCAATGAAGGTGTGTGCCAGTGAACTTGTAATATATACATGGTCTGGTGGGAACAGATTAGGGGCATTCGGGTATAAAACGAGAACCATATGAAGTGTCAGGGCTGTGGCAAATTCATCGGTATGGTAGACTGCAGCATCTCCATGAAAGATGGGAGATACAGCCTCAGAGCCAAGTGCCAGCTTGGCTACTGAGAAAGTTTTGCCTTTCGTACTGCTACAGATAACTTTGTTATAGGAACTTAATTTAATTGACATACAGTTGTTTTCATTCCAGGATAATACCATCCAAGGTTACACAACTCAAGACAAAAACCACACATTTACATGGAAATAAGTAAGTCTGTATGAGGCATTATATTGGCATAATTATTCTTGTTTAAAATCATGCCTCATCTATTATGTTTCTTCCAGAGCATCCGATCTTTAGGTGTCTGTTGATTATGCAGCACTATGTGATAAGATCATTGTAGACAAGCATCAATGTGCGTTTACGTATTCTATAAAATCACAGACAGAAATCACCTCAACACACAAGATTTCAATAAAGCATCTGAAAGCTAGTAAGATAGCAAGAAATAGACAAAAATATGCATCCATTTTGGTACCATTTGCCAGTCAGTGTAAATTATTTGCCAACAGAAATCTGACTTGAAAGGAGGAAAGATTGTTTTCCCTCCTTATCCCCCAACTGCCACAGCCATCACTGGACTCCCATTGAAAACAAAAAAGTTGTTTACAGCTGTCCTTCCTTACCCAGCAGAGGTCGTTTGGCACAAGGTTTCTATTAATTGATAGAATGAATTAATTTCCATGGATGGCAAAAGATAGAAACAAAAGCAAAAGAGCAAGACAGACTCATGCAGATGAGGTTTCTATAGCAGCTGAACACTCCCCACTTTCATGGCACTTCTGTGCAAGTTCCCGATTGGGGCCTGTCGTTCTTCTTGATGATGGTGGCATTATTAATTGCCCACAGGGACGGATTTCAGAATGTCAGAAGAATTAGGGCTGTAGTGTCAGAAAATAGGAATGTAAGCCATGCTAGCGAATGGACAGTTTTTTGAATGCGTTTATATATTTAAAATCTTTTTAAGGGATTGCATTGCAGGCTTCAAGTGCCCTAGCAAATCATTAGTGATAACAGGAAACCCAAGCAGAATTATAGCAGCTATTTCACCACAAACTTGGCCATCCAGCCCTGTAAAGAGAGTCCTTTCCACCTCTGAGTCATAAAAAATAAATATGTCACCTTCCCACCAATCCAGTGGGAAAGAGCGTGATCAGAGATGAAAAATGGAAGTGACCCATATTGGTGATATTTTTGGCTTGATATAGACTTAACAAAAAAATGGACAAATTCATAAAAGAAAGTTTCTTTAAGGGCTGTTCTCTCAGGAAGTTGGTGAGCTCCAAATTGTTGCAGGTTGGGAAAGTCCGTGGGGGGACCATCCTTACACGCTCGTTCTGTTGCTCTGTCTGGGTACCCACTGTTGGCTGCTGTCAGCAGCTTCTGGACTCATGTTCCAGACAGTGACTTCAGAGGCAGATCCTAATTACAGATCTATTTTTAGATGCTCTAATTTTGGCAGGAAGCCAGAAGTTGTAATAAAACAGCTTTGGTATTATCTGTCATCTCCAGACGTGGAAAAGAGCCATGAATTCAGCATGGGGGTAGATAATGTAGATATATTAGAATGCATTATTATCTACAGGGTTGCCTATTGCCAGTTTCATTTTTATTGCATGGCAAAGGTCAGCACCTTTCGGTAGCTCAGAGATCCCAAAGGATGACAAATTACCAAGAATTCCTCTATTCAGCATATATATGAAGCCATCATAAAAGAATATCAGCATGGTGCTAGCAGTCTCTGATCTACATTATATGCTTCTTTTGGCAACGAAGATGTGTCTGCCATTGACGGTGGGCAGATAGTGAGGGATGAAATTTAATACAGACAAAATGAAAGTACAGTGGCACCTTACTTGTTCTTCAGCTGAAATGTAGCTCAGGTTAACAAGATTCACAAGTCTCTGATTCCAACTGGAAAATGAGCTGCGTTTGGTTTTGGGAAATTGCAAGAACATTTTTGTTTCAGAATGTCTTACTATTATTCCTACAAAAACAGGTCTACTTGGACCTTTTTTTTTTTTCCAATTAAAACCAGGAAGAAAATGGAATGAATGTGCATTAAATATGGAAAAAAATTGAATGTTTGGAGTAAGGATAAATGGGCTGTGCTTCCACAGCTCACTTTTCCAGGCACAATGCTCTCATGGCTGCCATATGTGACATGCTTTGTTGGATCCTTCAGGACAACTCAGTCTCAGCTAGAAGAGATTGCACCGAGCAACTTAGTTGGTGATGCTTAGGTGAGTAAACTATTATGTTAATGCCCCACTGCACTGGTTTATGATTGGTGTTCAGGTGTGTTTAAACTTTCTGGGATGTGCTTGAGAAGAACCTGCTTGTTCTAGTTCTGAAAACTCTGGAGTCTGGCGTATGAGGGGAAAACAAGGAAAGTTCCAGCACATGAGACAGAGTTCACATACTGGGAGCTTTCAGGGAAGGGCCCAAAACCTGTCATTTTGCCCCTAAGGTTTTATCCTGACTAGAGTACAGTTAGATCACCTCATTATTTCATCTCAAGCTATACCTCTTTGCAACCGTTAAGCCTTTTACTACTCCTAAGGCTCTGGCCTCAGTGGTAACACATTAAAGCCAGCTGCCCACATGGATCCCTCATTCTGTAAAAGAGTTTCTAAAGTTTGTCACTTTCTAACTATGTTAAAGTCTCCTTGTTGCAGGATCAGAAAAGATGGCTAGAAATGCTCAATGGACCTTCCCTTTTGCCTCTCCTGCTTCCTCTCTAATCCATTTTCCACATTGCTTTGACAGAGTCTGAGATGGTTGCACTTCAGGCCACATTGCAAGACCCATCTGTTATTCTGCCTTTTGCCAAAGAGACTGATTTGAAGGGGTGTGAATTTTTGTGAGGCTTAGGAAGTGTTGAATTGACTTTTCTGTCACTTTTGCTACATTTCCCTTTCCGTGGGTTACAGCACTGATGGAAATGTCCTTATAGTCTCTGATAGGCGCATTCTAGAAATAGCATGATAAATAAATGGAAATGTTTTTAAAAATTAAGAATCTTCCACAAGTTTTAAAAATAAAGACACTATGTGTAATGGACCAAAAATAACCACAATGTTTTTATTTTGGGCAAAAGATACGCAGCGGGAAGGAAAACTATGCAGTTTAATTTGCTCCTTGGTATTAGTTCTTACAGTATTTGCCAGTAACAGCAACATTATAATTTGTAGAATTAATTAATGATCTGGCATCTGATTTTGATTCATTAATGCTTAAGCCAGCTAAGTCTCAATTATCCTCTGGACTATTTATTCCTTAACAAGCTTTTAGCTAATGTGATTTTGAAAATATGAAAATAGGTCTTAGCTTGCCTTTAAGAAGTGGCAATATTTTAACGCTTCTGTAAAATAAAGAACCTTTTTTTTTTTTTTTTTCATGCTACTATAGTTACATTCAAAATTAGAGTCGGGGATTTTCAATGTATGCACTAAATATATATTATATTTATATGTACCTGGAACCTGACTTCAATTTAGACTTGATTAAAAAATGTACTGAATTGGAAACTGTGTAATAAAGGATGCCTAAATCATACTGACCCAGAATAGCTCACTCTGTCAGACAGTTAGCAAATAAGTGCACAAGCAAGCAGATGATACAAGAATTCAAAATTAATTTTATTCTCAGAGGATGCATAGACTAGCAGATAGCATCTGATTCTATCTGCAGAGGTGTAAATCCAGAGTAATGCCTTGGCTGAGGTCTCGTTACCCTGAATTTGATTGCTTATCCTGCAAATGATCAGAATTGGGCTCTTCAGTGCCCAAGGCTAGGTTAAAGCAGCTGAAACAGCCAGTGTTACTTCACAACATTTTTGTGATGCAACTGGAAGCCTCTACCAATTTCTACGTATTAGTTACTTGTAACAAATCCATTTACCAAAGTAATTTTAACACTCTTGAAATTTTCTCCAAATGACTGGTATTTTTGAAAGTTCAATCACCACATCCCTTTAGGAAAATCTCCCCGATGGAGTTATCTCTTGTGCTGCAAATGTATTATGATACATTCAGAGACTATGGCCATTGATTTGGGATTGTCAGGCACCAGTTTAAGAGCTCATTTGACCTCGTTTGGGAAAGTTGCTTCTACTGCTGGGCTCTGACATGATGTCTGTGCTTGCCATCATTGTACGCTGTCCCCACTCACATCAAAACAGAAATGCATCATTACGGAGATGAGTAAACAAATGAATCATAGATGTTTTATCCAAATAAACCAGCTCAGTTCATCGTTTCAGTCGCTGAGATTTGTTCTGAAGGTACCTTCCGAACCTTTCAGACATTACAGAGATGGTAGAAAATACAAAACTAAGCACTTAGTGTTACAGAACTTGAAATAACTCATCTGCTCCTGAAACCATTTTCCTAAGAAGACGTCTGATGACCTCTGACCACCGGAATTTGTGTGTAACACCACTGGCGTCTATGCAGTTCACTCTCACTTCACAATGCTGAGACACCAGATAGAGCTTTCCCCACCCCTCTCACCAAGAAATCCGAGACAAACATCTGAACGTATCTTCCTTCCCCCTTTTAGATCATTAAATTCAGCTCCTATCAGCCAAAGATGTGAGGTCAGTCCGTGACTATACAGAGAGAGATGAGAGAGCTGTAATACCGACTCCCCTTTCGCCTGAGGAGCTGTTAGCTCAGCCAGGTCCCAAATGGCTGCCCTGGATCTACAAAGTGGGGGCACAGCTCACATTCCCAGCTGTCTGTAGTTTTAAAAATCAACTCCTTCTTACCAAGTTTAATGCTCTGGCCCACAGAATCCATTCTGTGCTGCTTCGTGGACAGCCCTAAACCCTGCATACATGGTTGGTGCAGAACTGGGAGGTCACAAAACCAGCTACCAGAGACATACCTGAGGCAACAAAGAAATGAATTCATGTCTGGCTACTGAGGGAAAAGTGCCAGTTATTTGTGTAGTTATGGTAAGAGTACTTTCAGACTAAGCGGTAGGTTGAGGTGGTTAAGCTCGGGTTCTATGGCTAGGGCTGGAGGCACCATTCTTCTCAATTCCTTTGAGAAAAGGTTTGGATTGAGAAACAAGAGCAGCCCTGCTCGCTTTTAATCATCTGAATGTGGAGGAAGGGGAGAAGGTGGAGGCTTGGTAAGAAAAATATGCAAAGCTTAAAAAGTTCCAGCTGCTGTTCTCTAATGGAGGCTTGGTTCCTCATGAACGGTGGAATAGTTAGGCCACCTGGTGGTAAATGGCAAGCCAACAACCTTTGCAATTTCTGAGGCACAATAAATACCCTGAGGAGCAGAGAGCACAGGGAACTGTCATAGGCTGGTATGCAGCCACTGCTGGGAGATGGCTGCTAGCTGTGACCTCCCCCAGCTCAGGTGCAGTGCAGAACAGGGGAACCCTCCCTCCACCACAGCCTTCCACCCCAGCCACCTCCTGCTATGCCAGGGAGGGAGGCAAAGCAGAAAGCAATCCAAGGATATCTGAACCTAGGTAAGCTTTTTGGGGGGGAGAGGGGGGTGTTTTAGTGGCTGAGTGAGGAGCTCTGTCCCTAAATGCAGCACCGGGTTTATGCAGATAAATCAAGTGAGGCTGGTGGGGACGGTCAGTTATACTTTTAGCATTCCTATTTTAATGAAGTTCTACAATGTAGTTCTCACATCTATGTGTGTCACTTGTTTCTTCCAGTACAACTGCTGTCCAGAAGTACTGCAAAGTGTCAAATGTAAATGCAGGGTGCAGAGAAGATGTTGGTCCTACTGGCAGGGTCCTTTACAGCGCTCCCAAGTGCCAATATCTAAGAACCAAGCTGGACTGGACACCAGGGCAATGCCAAAGAGTGTTCACAGATGGGCACAGCACAGGCAAATGAATGCTAAAGAAAATCTGGTGGATGATGTGACTCTTCTTAACAAAGGAACTATTGTTTGTTTTGCCCAATCCTGCCCCCTGGAGCTTTCATCTGAGCCTTGGGAAAGCAAGCTGCCATGTCCAGCACCGCTCCTGGCTGCTCTCTCCTTGCTGTCCCTCCCTGGTTCCCTCAGTGCATTCTCCAACACTTGAAAATTCACCCGACTCGTGACTCACATCTTAATCTTATCCAAGTCACAATGTTTATTTCACAGGATGCCCAATTAAACAGTAATTCAGCCTGCTCTGGAGTTGTTTCCTTCCCATATGGTGATTGGTATAACCTGAATAATGTCGGAAGCACAGAAGAAAAGGCAGAAAAGAACTTCAGTGATATTGGGAGAGCAAGCTACAACTTCTCCCACTGAAGAAGAGTGGAAAAGAGCATGCACAGAAGTGTTAACATGGGTCATCATTTCTGATGCTCCCTGACTCCTAAGAAGAGGAGGGAAGGATTTCAGACTGGGTATCAGGAAAAACTTCTTCCTTTAAAAGAGTGGTCAGGAGAACAGGCTGCCCAGGGAGTCACAGTCCCTGGAGGCATCCAAGAAACACACAGATGTTGTACTGAGGGACATGGTTTAGTGGACAAGCATTGGTGATAGGTGGATGGTTGGACTGGATGATCTTGGAGGTCTTTTCCAACATTGGTGATTCTATGATTCCAAGATGGTGCTACCTGGGCATGCATAACAGACTCCCCTTAAGCCTGGGGAGCAGGATCAGGAGTGAGGCTGCAATTCACACTAAACGAAAGAAAATCCATGGCCCTGCTTTCCCTGTCCCATTTCTGCCCTCCACTGTAGCTACTGCAGGAGTGCCTGTTCCTTGCACCTTGCATCCAAGGTAAGTGCTGGAGCTCCACGCTCTGTAAGGTGAGGAGTAAGGTCCTGACTTCACCGGCTGCATGCCAAAGTCCAGGAGTCCTAAAAACTTGAAGGGGTTTTTACCATGGCACAGACCTGCATGCTTCTTCAGGCCTTTCACGCTCACGCAGCAGGGCACTGCCCTGCTACCCACACAGACTTGCTCTTTTTGCTATCAGCTCCTCCAGGTGCGATTGCAGCACTCATCTGCAGCACTCCAGGCTCACGCTGGAGGTGTGGAAATAGAGACAGCGTTCTTCCCAAAGAAATTTTCAATGTGCTTTACTGAGACTTTCTAAAAAAATATAGATTAATTGTGATAATTAAATTTCCCTCTGAGTGATTTCTTTGATAAATGGGTCTAGTTAGGACTTTCAATTAAGCACCAGGCCCTGCTGTGAAGTCAGACAGAGCTTCGTGTTTCAGGCATTTATTGCCTCATTTACACAGAGACAATATGAATTATTTCATGTTACGCTGTTTTCTTTATGTCTTTTTTTTTTTTTTTTTTAACACAGGTATTAGAATTCCTATTAACCCTTCAATCAGGAGCCAATTAAAAAAAGATGGTCACCAATTTTTAATCATTTTGTGATGGTTTAATAAGCCTCCTGGAATCTCTCTTCTGTCCATACCGCAGCTCTCTGCTGCATAAACTCACTGGTTTGTTGCTGTGCAGTTTCTCACAGGCTCCCAGGTGGTGATAAAAGGATATGAAAATAACATCAAGTGGGGAAGAAAAGACATTGACCCCAAAGACTCTGTTATGACGGATGGTGGTAATATGCAACAATTTGGGGAACTTCTGTGTTTTTGCCTTGCCCAAAATTCGGAGTATATGTTCAGGACTGCCTGGAGAATTTCAGCTGCTGGGGGGCACTCCACCTTGAACGCTGTTGTGCTCTTAAAGCTATATCCCTGCACTGGAGCAGAGCTGCATGGCCATTTTGAGCATGGAATTAGTTAAGATACACAGTTTGTACCTTTTTACTATGAAACTGGGATTTTTAGCTTGTTTTTCTGGTTACTGGTATTGATGGTGTTCACCCATGTAATTGCCAAGCACTTTTTCTAGCCATGAAGAGCAAGCAGTCCAATAATTTAATAATGATAATTTAAAAAAAAAAAAAACACAATCTAACAAAACTAATCCAAAAGAGGGTCTATTTTTACTACAGCATCCACATCTAGACACCAGCATTCACTGTCATTGATAACAGAGGAGAAAAAAGTCTCCTAGACTTAGGAAATGGTTTTAAATTTTTATGAGCTCTCTGTAATGCCATCCTCAGCTACTCTAGCTAAGATGAAATTGCAAGGTTTACCCACTGATGTGCTTTGAGAAATAAATCAGAAACTAATTGTCTGACATTAGAGAAGAACTTGTTTTTACCTCCTCCCACCCTACTCAACATAACTATTTCTGTTTCCTTTATACTGTGTAGTCAGTGTCAATGCATGTGATGAGAGCATATATATTTATTATTACACTTGGACTGATCTTCATTTGACCCATGAAATTGATACGCTTCCTGTGTGAGAGTTAGTCAGAGACATACTTTAATTCTTATTAAACTAAACCTTTACCAGGGGGCAGGGAGATTTCAAGGGAGTCTCTGCCATGTAAAGAAATCATGCTGTCTTTCCATATATGAATCTAAGCACAGTCGGACCTCAGATTGTATAGAGCAAGAGATGTGAAATGAGTTATGAGTACTGAGAGTTTGAATAATTGACGGAAATTTCGATGCAATTAATAAAAAGTAAAGGATGTGAACTCGCTGATAAATTAGGGTCTGTGGATTGTTATGGCATGGTAAATCCAAACGTCAGCCACCCCCCCATTTTTCTCTGCTGTAAAGCAGCAAAGCCCGTGCTTCTAATGCAGATTTGTTATGCTCTGGCATATCTAATTTCTTAAACCAGAAAGACAAAGATGACTGATGCCAAAAAGTGGGAGGGTACATTTTAAAAATCCCACTGCTATTTTAAACATGGGCTAAAATGAGACTATTGTGTGGTTAAAATTTATCTAGCATCCTCTCTGGTTGAGGCACATCTTGTCATATAGAGCAATGCTGTTAAAGTAGTTCATGGGAATGATGTGCATGACTCCTCTTGCTAATGGGAACTGTGTGCATAGAACAATTTAGCTGTTAGTGCTCTGAGGAGAACTTGAATAGCAGGGGCTTGGAGAGGAACAAAACAAAAAGAAAGCTGCTAAGGGCATTCTGAAAATACACTCGCTATTCTTTTTCTTCCCAAGCATTGCTGCGGTAAGCAACCGCTTCAAAATTCCTCTTTAAACAAGTGACATGAAAAGGAAAAGAGCATGACTTCGTATCAACAGCCATTCAGAACAGAGCAGGTCCCAAACTAACCTTGGGGGTAAGAAAGGCTGGTGGGGGGCAGGGTGCCATGCGGCCGTTCCCTTTGGTTTGTTTCGCTTGGTTTGCCAGTAGTTGAGAGAAAGCATCCCTCATGGGAGCGTTCTGACCCAAATATCTGGGATGCTGTACAGAACACCGGCGGGCCAGGATTTCAGAAATACAACTGCCTACAGTAAGGCACCCAGCAAAGCACTTGAATATTCCACCCGGCTCCCCACCCCCAGGCGATGGGATTGCTTATGCATTTAAGGCTAGAGTGCTTAAGAGCTCCCTTATGTATAGGTTGGAGAACTTAGACATGGGTGCAGACCCGACCATGAGCTGTCTGCTATTGTAGAGCTTGGCCAGAGGGAGGCTTTCTGCATTTGATTGTTGGTTTTTTTTTTAATCACTTTGCTTGTTGAGGATTTTCCCAACCACGCTCTATGCAGCAAGCTGCCTTTAAATGCACTGCAAAGCACGTTTCTGAACCTTTCCTGAACCTTTTAATTGTGGGGTAGGCTGCATATACACAGGTTGTAACAGGGCTGTGTGCAGCTCCTAAGGTTATGGCAAACACCTAGCAGACTAGAGAGCAGCTCCTTTTAAAGGCTCAGCTAATTCCCAACTCTCCATTATTTCCCAGTCAAGCCTACAAAAACCTGGGATATTAAAAATGCCAAAGAACATTATGTAAATCACCATCCTTTCCTAAATGATGCCATATACATTTCTCAATGAATGAAAAGTTGGCTTCAGGTACCGGGATGGGATACAGAAATCCTGACTCCAATTCCTGCTCCCACCAAAAGATGTATGTATGGCCCTGGACAAGCTACTGACCATTCAGTTCCAAATCTGTAAAAGGGCAATATACTTTTCTGCCTTTTGAGTCATGAGAGCCTAACATCCATTAGTAATTGTGAGACGCTCAATTGTTAATTCTTAAGTGCTTAGATACATCAGTAGAAGAATTTTCCAGAGGTATTACTGAACAGATCTGTGCATTCTTTTTGGTAATATTCGTTATAATGTGTTGCTGTACATCTTTATTCCCAATGTTTTATTTATTACAAAGTACTAAAGGTTGGGTTTCCTTACAGGAATGGATTGACTTGGAGGAGTTCCACAGGGAGTGTAAATGTTTTCTATGTCAGAAGATTAATAACAGGAAAAAGAAAAAGCTAAGGTTTCCATTTGATTGAGACAATAAATAAATGCCTTCACTTTGGCTCCTGGTCTACCATCTAGCTATAAGATCCTTGTGCTTGTTCAGTCTCATTCTTAACTGCCACACTTTCTGTTTTCTTCCACTTCTAGAACTGATGTACTAAGTGCTGCCAAAAAGACAACCAACCAACTTTCCAAAGCACGTAACAAATATCGCTCCATATTTCCTGAATTGAATGTTACTGTGGGACAGCCCGTGACATCTACAGGAATGCCAACTTGCTATTGAGTTGTCAGGTCCTGCCCAGGTCTGACTATTAGTGACAGGAGAGAAAAGAATCCAAGCTACTGATACAGGGTTAGCTTAAAGATGAGGTCAGGCTGATAGACAGGAAAAAGTATTCAAATTCCTTCTGAGGAAGCTGCGTGTTTCTCACATATATAAATTGGGGCTAAATGTTCTGACTACATTCCTGTATCTTGTGTTACAGATATCTACTACATCATCCTGTCCATTCCATTCCTCATCCTGGTTTCCGTTATGCTCAGTGATGTGGTCTTCCTTCAGGGCTCTTTTTGTCTTTCATTAATAATCTCTAATCATTAATTACCTCTGTAACCCAGTGGAATGTCTCCATTTCCTTAATCACTACTCTGAAAGTGTTTCAGGAGCTCTCCGATTACAAGGCACTAAATAAAATGCAGGGCGTTATTGCCACTAAAACCTTCTGTGGTTTTTATACTGTTTCTATGAAGGCTGCTCCGAAAGTAATCCCTCCTATTTTACGACACTGGTCCATGAAGTTGAGGTTGAACCTTCTTGCCAGTATTCTGCTACATTTTGTTGCTGTGAAATAGATGGCAGCTGAGGGGCACTCTGACAGAATGGTGTTTGATATGGATATGTGCATGAACTGTAATTTAACTCCTCCCTACAGGAAAAAATGGCACCCACTGACATTTATTAATGCTTGCTGAACGTTTCTGGAGACCAAACAGTGAATGTGAGCACAGTGAGGTGTTGGGTGGTGCATTTCAGCTGTGGTGACAGCAACAGTGGGTCACCTCCACTAGTGCAGATTTGTACAAGCGTGGTATGCAGGCTCTTGTACATCACCAGCAAAAATACACAGCTAATGGTTGTGACTGTATTGAAAACTAGTGTTTTGTAGCTGAGAATTTGTTCTATCAAACTGTGTTATTGTGCCCTTTATATCTGTTTCGGTTTACATGGAAATAAATAGAAGGCATTACTTTTGGAGCATCCTACTATATATCCCACTTGATACTTGTCCTGTTCATGCAGTACTTTGATGCAGAATTTGTAACACTGCACTCTGCTTTATTACTTCCAGTGATCCTTTTCTGTCCATTCTTGGCTGGTACCCTGAACCACAGAGGTGCAGTGTTGTACTGGTATCACTAAGGCACTTTAAGTCACTTTTCTGTAATTTGGACTCTGAGCTGATCCCAAAGATTGCTCACTTTATGAGCTATATCAGTCTAAAGAGAGCTCTCTGTGGACAACTCTGCAATTCAGAGCCACACGGAGTCCCTTCGGAGCGTTCTGCAACGCAGCCAAGTCGTACCCTCTCCTCTCCCCAGCAGGCACTGAGCACGGCTACATGTTGGTCAGAGCAGATTGCAGAATGGAAGAAGATTTAAACCCGTTTTGCTAATAAAACTGAATTCAAGCCATAACAAAAACAATTCATGACACATTTCTGTCTGTCTGTAAAGGACTTTAAAAAGAGTTAAAGGGTTAAAGCACCTGTGTCAGTTAAAGCAAGAGGTTTAACTTACCTCTTTAAAAGACCTCCATTTATAGGTTAGGAAACTAAGACAATGTCTCCGTTTACTACTGGCTACCAAAATAGCTGAAGATTAGGTTTTTAAAGTAGTTTTCTACCGTGTATGAAGAGCAAAAGGAGAGGTCTAAAGATCTTCTAATGTCTTCGCTTCCTTAAATTCCTCCTGCTGTTTATAGCTCTCCTGTTGTATTTTTCTTGAAGAAACAAAAGCCCATAAACTTCAGCCTTCTTCCCCCTGCCCTGCCCTTTTCTCAAAGAAAACAATATGAAGCTAAAAGGATCTGCTGTACGCTGCCTGACAAAACAAAAATCCAAAGCACAGAAAGGGACTTTGATTAACGGCATTTTGGCCGGCGTTTAGAGCGGAACACGCGGCGCTGCTCTTCTGTTTTGCCCTTTGCTCGGATACCCACAAGATACAGTCCACATCCATGCGGTGTGCTCTGCCCACAGCCTGAGATCAATGAGATCTATGCAAAAAGAGAGCACCTGCCACAGCCCGTTACTGTTTTTATTTATTGTCGGTGTTATTAGACCACGCAGGAACCCTAACCACAAATATTGTCTGAAGCACTGTGTGAACACTGAACAGAATGATGGCCCTGTCCCAAAGCGATTACAAACTAAATAGAGGAGGGAAGACCACAGACGAATACAAAAAGACAGATGGCGAATAAAGGAAATGAGAATGCTCAGTGCAGCTGACAGCAGCACTACCTTACCAGCAGCATAAAGGTTGTCAAAGCTTTTGTAGATGTCACAGCAAAGGAGGGCTTTAAGGACATTCTGGAGAGCTACCAGAACAAATCCAAGAGTGTTTGCACAGCATACCTCTCAGTATAAGAGAGGCCACAGAGGAGAAAATGAGGATGAGAATGCAGGAGGATGGCAACACTGGACAAAAGGAGAGGGTACATTTCAAGGTGCCAGCAGTGTTTAAATGTTACAGCTGCCAGCATTCTGGGCTGTGTTTAACAGCGGTCTCTTAGTTTGCTCCTGACCAGTCCTGCTGACCCATATCCCACTCTAAAAAGGTACATAAGGACAGAGCACAGCAGAGCTGAAAGCCTGCTCAGCAGGCAGGGCAGTTACTGGAGCTGCTCTGTTCCTTGTTTGCGCCTCCTGACAATGAGAGATGATAGGTGGGGTCCCAGGAGGCCTTGAGAATGAAGATAGGCAGCTTATGTTGATGCGAGATAGGGGAGGGGGAGGTGGTACAGGGATGCCAGGAGAGGGGTGACACGTTCAAAGTGACAGGCTAGGAAAATGATCTTTGAAGCTGCAGCAGCATTCAGTATGATTAGGGCTTGTGTCGGGGCCAGAGAAAAGGATGTTGCAGCAACTTAGCTTTTAAATAATGAGAACTTAGGCAAGGATTTTAGCTGCGAGGGAGAGTGGAAGAAGATGCACCTTAAGAGCTGGATGATGTAGGAGCTGAGTGTGGGGTTGTATGAGCAGCTGAAAAATTGAGGCTTTACCTGTATGTAACAGAGGTCAGAGTCGATGCTGCCACGCAGTCGTGTGACAGATAGCACGGTATGCTGCGCCCAGCGTCAGGAAGCAAGGTGGGCACAGGGCTGGGGGCACAGAGAATGCTAGCTAGCAGAAGACCAGGCACTGTCTTCCTCTCATCTCCTGTTTAGCTTTTCTCTTTGCAGCTATTAATTGCAGACAACTATAGGAAGCTGCTTAGGAGAAACCATCAAGTAAGCCAAAAATTTAAATGCAGTCCCAGTAATACTTCTCACGTGGTCTAGATTCTGCTCACATATACCCACGAGGTTGCATCTCTCATCTAACTCAGAAAATACAAATCCTTTCCTCTGTGCTCAGTAATAAACTGTGCAGACATTGTGCAGTTTTCTGCTGTATTCCTAGAAAAAGATTACCAGCAAGATTAAAGCCTCTGGTTTTGAAGAGAGATTTCACAGGATTAAGTATTATCCAGTCTACTTCTGAAACCGAGGATAAAATACAAGAAAAGACAATGAATTATATTACTTCAAATATCACAGACTGCGATGTTGGTAGACGGGATAACGAGAAAAAAACAAACGCTTACGTTCTGCACAGAAGTAACACCTGGGGAAGGCGCCGCGGGGCGGCAGTTCCCAAGTGCGGCCAGCAGAGGGCGCGGGCGGCACCCCGTTTGATTTGGGGACGGAAGTCGAGATTTCCCTGGGCAGCGTTTCCCAGGAATAAATCAAGCAGAAATGAATAACCTTTGATTTATCATTCCTAATGGAGATGTACATCATACTAGCGTGTCATCACATTTCAACGTTGGCCATTACGTGCCAAACATGTAGTAATCTTCTTCCGCATTATAATCGGCGATGAAGATGTACGTTTCCGTTCAGCACAATTAGATTTGCACGTTTCTTCATGGCAGCTGGGGGCGGTGGGCAGAATACCTGCTTCGGCTGCCTCTAACCCCACGGGGCGCGGCTGCGGACTGGGCAGGGGCTAGAGCGGCACGGCTCCCGGCGGGGGGTGCCCGGGGAGCCTTGCCGCGCGGGGGGTGCTCGGACCCGCGGCACGGCCATTGGGACGACGGCAGCGCCCTCTGGTGGCCGCCCGCAGCAGTGCAGCCTGTGCTGGAGGCGGGGCCCACGGCACTTGGGATCTGTGGCCAAGGGAGCTGCATTCGTCTGAGATGTAGCCGAACAGATGCGAACTCAGGCTGGAAAAAGACCTTCGTTTGCGACTGGATTTACACTACTGTCTTTATGTATATCTGTTGACGTGGATGTGGCAAATGATTTTGCTTTTGCTGCCTGTAAGATGTGGAGTCAATAAAGGCAAAGCTGAAAAGCTCTGATGAGAATCCCAACTCTTTTCCTAGTAAAGCATGCTCTACAAAAACAGGCTGCTCAGTGACAGTAAACAGAAAATTTACTCAGCAATGAAAAACAAACAAACAAAAAAACCAACAAACCCAATCCTCACTGGGGATGACTGAGGCAATGAATTACTTAAAGGTAAAAGTTGGGAATCTTCTTTTCAAAGAACAGAGAGCAAAAGGGAACGAATGCTGCCTGTATCACAGAATCACAGAATAGCAGGAGTTGGAAAGGACCTCCGGAGATCATCAAGACCAACCCTCTGCTAAAGCAGCTTCCCCAGATTAGGTTGCAGGAAAGCATCCAGGTGGGTCTTGAAAATCTCCAGAGGAGACTCCACAGCCTCTCTGAGTCAGTTCCAGTGCTCAGTCACCCTCGAAGTCAAAAGTTTTTCCCCATGTTCATATGGAACTTCGAATGTTCCAGTTTGTGCCC